TTTCATCCGATGGACGGGAGACCACCACGTGTCCCTGACGAGGCGTCTTCCTCAGACATCGCACGGCTACAAATATTTATTTACCCGCGGTCAATTGAGCGACGCCATCATAAAATGATTAATGGGAGAGGCTGTGGAAGAACGCGGTCTCTTCCTGAGGAAAACCACAAAGAGCCTGTCCGGGACGAGTACGAAACCGGAGTTCCAACCACTCCGTCGCGACGGTTCTTCGTCTTCGGATGATATAATGGCACAAGATTGGTTACAAATTCAAATTTGAGAATTGGTATTTTTCTAAAATCCACCACCGCACGCACATCACTGCAATATTTCAACTCAAAAGTTCGTTCGTCCGGCATTTCGCTAATAACGACACGTGGGTGGCGCGATCTGCGGCGTGGCGCATGCGCCTAACACCCGTCAGAGAGAGAGAGAGAGAGAGAGAGAGAGACCCTGTTTCAAAAATTGGTTTCCCGCTCAACTCCAGAAGCCACCCCGTGGCACTGAGCTTTCCAACTGCGGCTGCGCAGAGGCACGCAGGTCCGTGGACATCAGCACTCACCGGCAGCGATAAGTTCCGGAGAAACGAGACCGGACAGGTCGGGCTCCTCGCCGTACCAGAAGATCCACAGCTCCTTGGCAGCGTGAAGCGACAATGGCGGCTGCTGGTTCTGGCCTCCGGCACCGCCGAGTCCCGGAGGCAGACCGATGGGGTCGAACAGACCCCCGGCACCTTGATTCGCGGAGTGCGGGCCAGAGGCGGAGGCTGGCTGTTGGACGGCAACTCGACGCCACACGCACAGAATGTCCCCGGCGAGGCAGCGCGAGAAACTCGTCAACACGGGATCATCCAGAGGCTCCGACGAGAAACTGCAGTCGCCGCACACCAACTTACGCCATTTGATACCACAAAGATCGGTCTGAAACAAAACACAAACGCATTATTATGCATCACAACCTTAAAACAGAAAGGTTCGACGCCTTCCGTACACAACACAAAACAAAGCTCCCACGCGAGAGGCTGAAGAATCGCAAATCCCTCTCCAAGGAACGTGTTCCTGCATGTCAACTCGAGAACCGAGTGAGATGTTGACTCGGACAACGCATTTCGTAGGCCGGAAGCAGAGGCTCTGCGACCTTGGATCTGGGATCAGTGGCCTTGGAAATGAGAATGCCGTCAGAGCTGGGCGACTCCCCCCACGTGGTTGGTTCCCTGGGCGGAGTGACAGGCGTTTGACTAGCTGCCCCCCCCCCCGGGTACAATTTCAAGGCACACGACTTCTTAGAAAGCGTTCGCCATTGTCAGATTTTAACAACAACAACAACAAAAAGTGGATCGCGTGGACAGAAGCCACGAGAGTGCGACTGCGATATTTTGGCTTCAAGTCAGGGAGGAGAAACCTCCGAAGTCCCGGCATTATAAATGACGTCACACAAATTCATTTCTGAGACTCGTTCTTGAATATTTGCTCATTACAAATTTTCTGTTTCCAAAAACTGCCAAAAAAAAAACATTTTGCTACGTTTACGGATTCAGGAAAGGCCGTTCTTGCACTGACTGAGCGTCTACGGATTTAATTAAAGCAGCGCAAAGACTGACCACTGAAGAACTAATTTTAGTCCGGGGAAGGCGATTTTAAAACACGCGACTCTTTCCAGACGATCGAGCGACATTTGCGCAAACAGAAACCTCGACCTGAGTCATTTCAGCGTCCATATTCGTCTTGAGGAAGTTTCCACCGTTGCACCAGCAGCATTTGTTGTTGTTCACAGCTCGGCGGGATGCATTAAACGCACGTCAAGGACGGGTCTCGTACAAAATTATCTTCCCAATCACCTGTAAGATCTAATCGACCACCACAGCTCGAGTGACCGGCCTTTGCCGTCAATGGTTCTAACAGCCTCCGCCAGTGTCGTCTTGCAGTCAGATGTGCCATCTCTTGGCGGCAGTGCGAACTATGTGACCACTGTCCTCTGAGGCTGGAAGCAAAAACGTAACTGCGAGCTTCAGGTGTCGCTGAAAGTGGGCAAGAGAGAGTCTGCCTGAGCGCAACTGAAAACATTTCACACGATACTGTATTTTGTGAACCAATGGAACTGTAAAAACACGAGCAATGCAGCTCCATCCAGACGAGTGGGTGCATGCGTTCCCATTTCAAAGACTAGCTCCCCTCTTTCCTCTGATCAATGCCTGTTTTAGGCCGTGGCGATTGGATGATGACGTTTTCGCGTCTTTGACAAAACGGGCGAAACTGAGGTTTGTCGTTTACTGGACGTCGGAAGAGGGAGGAGGTATATCAATCACGTCTCATTTCCTGATCCATGCCTTGGTAATCTTCTGAGGACCTGCATAATGGCCATAAACAACAAAGCCACGCTTCTTTCTCTCTTTCCACTACGCATGCGCATATTGTATGTAGTAAGTTTCTCCGCGCAAGCAACTGATACCAGGTCCTGACAGAAGACGATGTGTTTCCGAAACGTAGCTACAAAATCGACAGTCGAACCACGGTTCCGGAGAATCTGACGTAAATGCGCAGACGCAGAATCAGCGTGAAGTGCGATGCGCCCTTATTTGTATAAATAAATGCTTGTAGAACCTAAACCGTTTGTGATATGTAAAATCTGAAAACAGATTTGGAAAGCTCAAGAGGTAATACGTATTTCGTACGCAATATGCCCAGATCCATCTCTTACGGTTTTCGAGAGGCGGGCGCTTAACGCGACAGATGCATTGAAAATTGTACACATTGGTTCATTAAAATTACAATAAATGTATAAACAATTATAACTACAATAAAATTCATTACAGATTCTTAAAGATCTTTATTTACTGATCATTTTACATAAAAGTTACATTACCCTTTCTCTTACCATTCCTGAGGAATGAACATTTAAAAGTGTCTTTGCCGAATGACACTTCCATATACGAGACGTATTTACGTCAAAAGTGTACCAACTGTCTCAACAAAAACTTGTGCCAACAAAGTTACGAAACGAGACTGACAAACCTGCCAATCCTTGGCGCGCGCGCGTCGCTTCACTGGATGATATTTAAGCTTCTGACGAAGGTTCCATTACGAGTGACGTTGCCAACAAACCGGGTTTGTGGTCGTTGCAATATTTCGCCGAGAACACGATCGAGCTGGTGAGCAACAAAACCTCCTCCTAACATCGCGACGTCACTGAGGAAGGAAGGAAGAACGTGGAAGCGAGCTAAGCTCGCCGACTGTCGTCAGCTCCCTCCGCGTTCGGGCGTAGAAGACATTCGTCCCCTACCGGACGACCAACACTTATTACCGACTTTCTCACGGGCTGCTTTGTGCTGGGCGGGAACAGAGCACCACCGATCACCGCAAAGGTGCAGAAAGCATGTGGTTACGATACACAAGTATTTTACTGTTATTAAAGTATAATTCAGGACACAACTACCTCACGCCAAGGGGCCCCACGTACATCACGTGACACATTTGACCGCATAGAAATAAAGAGGGCGCATCGCCAACGCAAAATTACATAAATGCTTCTCCGCTTTGGTTCTTAGTGAATTTAACGGCGCTCTTCAACTGCAAGGGTGGTGGCCAACTTTAAAGCAATGTACCAACACTTGTTCGGAAAACCGTGAAAATCACATGGCAGCCAACCTTCAAAACTGCGATGTCCGGAGCCAGGCGCTCGCTCGCGACAGAACGAACGAACGAACGCGCGTTGTTCATAGCGACCGCTTCCTTGGCCGAGCCCGT